TGGAAATTGAATCGTTTTCAAATGCCATTTACAGTAGCTCCTCCCAAAAGAAATACTTAGGTATATAAATCTACCAAAACACATGCAAGATCTGTATGCTGAAAACTACAAAATACTGATGAAAGAAATCACAGAAGAGCAAAATAAATGAAGAGACATATTATGTTCATAGATTGGAGACTCAACATAGTTAATATAGTAATTCTCCACAAACTGATCTATAGATTTCACAGAATTCCAATCAAAATCTTGGCAGTGTTTTATGTAGCTATAGGCAAGCTGATTCTAAAATTTATATGTAAAGGCAAAGGAATTACAACAGTCAAAACAATTTTAAAAGAGAAGACCAAGTTGGAGGATTCCCACTACTTGATTTTAAGACTTACTATAAAGCTACAGCAATCAAGATAGCACGGTGTTAATGGAAGGATAGATATATAGACAAATGAAATAGAGAGTCCAAAAATAGACCCACACAAATATAGCCAATTAACTTTTAACAAGTTGCAAAGGTAATTCAATGAAGAAATATTACCTTTCCAACAAATGGCATTAGAACAATTGGACATTCATAGGCAAAATAAATGAACCTTGATTTATAATCCACGCGCTATCCAAAAACCAACTTATTATGGACTGAATGTTGTGTGCCTCCAAAATTCATGTGTTGAAGTCCTAACCTCCAACGTGAGGGTATGGGAGGTTAAATGTTTTTTCTGTTTGTCTCCTTTAGGAGACAATTAGTTTTAGATGAAATCATGAGGGTGGACACCTAATCCCATGATTAGATTTAAATGTAAAATTATAAAACTTTTAGAAAAAACTATGGGAGAAAATCTTCCTGACCTTGGGTTATGCAAAAGATCTTAGATATGACATCAAAAGCAAAATCTATAGAAGAAAAAATTGATAAATTAGACTGCATCAAAATTAAAAACTTTTGCTCTGAAAAAAGGTGATGTTCAAAGAATGAAAAGTCAAGCCACAAACTGAAAAAAATATTGGCAAATCACATATCCAATAACAGATTTCTATCCAGAACATACAAAGAACTCTCAAAACTCAACAAAAAGAAAACATCCCCCCAAAAAATGGGCAAAAGATTTGAACAGACTTCAAAGATTTGAACACACTTCACCAAAGAAGATATACATATGGCAAATAAGCTCCTGAAAAAAAATATCAAAATCATTAGTCACTAGGGAAACACAAATTAAATAGACAATGAATATCATTACACATCTATCAGAAGGACAGAGATGCAGAGCAACTGGAATTCTCATACATTGCTGGTGGTACAGCCTTTCTGGAGAACAGTCAGGCGTATACTTACTATAAGATCCAGTATTCACAAGCCTAGGTACTTACCCTAGACAAATGAAAATCTATGTTCACACATACAGGTAAAGAAATGTTTATCGCAGCTTTATTCATAGTCACCAAAAATTGAAAACAAATGTCTTTCAACGATTTAAATTCCAACTTAAATGGAATATTATGCAACAATCAAGAGTAATGAATTCTTGATACACGCAACAACGTAGATGACTCTCAATGGCATTATACTGAGTGCAAGAAGCTAGTCTCAAAAGGTTACACACTGTATGATTCCATTTATATGGCATTCTGGAAAAGACAAATCTATAGGGATGGAAAACAGATCAGTGGTCACCAGAGGTTAGGGGAGAGGGAAAGAGTTTGACCACAAAGGGGTAGCAGAAGATTTTTCAGTACAATGAAACTGTTCTGTGGTCATTACAAAACTCTATACATGTGTTAAAACTCAAAGAATTGTATACTAAAAAAATCAATGTAACTGTATTTAATTTTTTAAAATAATAAATTAATGTAAAAATAATTTATGTCAACAGAAGAGAATTTATTTGGGTTGGCAGATTGTCAACCTTACAGTTAAGACAGTCTGATATATAATTTAATTATTCATTGATCTCTCAAGAATCGGTAAGAGGTTTATATAAATAAATAAAAGCTATAACTATGTTGCAATAAATAAGATATTTTCTTAAATATTTTTGATAGCTCTCTCTATAACTATTGTTGCTAATGTTTTTCAAACTAAGAAGTCAAGGAGCTGGCTGTCTAATGGCTTACAATGATATTTACAATGATCCACCTCACGTTCCATTCATTACTAGCTCTTCCTCAAGGGAGGAAAAGCTGCCAATCTGATTGCTCAGAGTCTGGAATTCTTTGGGTAAAATCATGGCACTGAAAAGACATTTGAATTTGTGAGCATATCCTCTTTCTCTTCCTGCAATAGGTCAAGAAATATCCTGACACTCTCTTGTGTACTTTTTCACTGCCAACACCACTGTCCAGTGGTCTTTCACCTTTCTTCCACTTTGACTTTTCCACAAATTGGTAAGAATGCCTTGATATTCCCCCACAAAACCAACAGCACCATATCTCCTCCCAGAACTTTTTTTTTGTGGCCCAAATGGAAGCTTTTCCTATAGCCACACACTAAGTAACCTGGGTCAGCTTAGCATTATGCATAGGAGACAAAATATTTTTGTGTATATTGGTTGTGTCATCCTCTTTCCTTTGGCCCTGGTGGTCTGCTTCTAAATCTTCTCACATTGCTCTAGAAAGAAAGATCCCCCACCTGCAGTGTGAGTGGAAGGAGGAGGAATAGATAAGAGATTTAGGAAAGGGAAGCAAGAGGCCTCATTTTGGCCTTGAACCTCAGCCATGTGCCCCAGCTTAGTTTAACTTGTATTTAGGGATATACAGTACTTACAGAGAAATTAACGTATCTATACATTATTCCTCATTCTATTGTTATTAATTTTGTACAATTTCTTTGGAGGGGAGAACAAAAGAGTGACAGGCTTCGGGTAACTGAATCCTTAAATAATTAGTAGTCATGGCCCCTTACCATTAAGGGGTTTAAAAATTGGTATGTACAAAACTAGAACCTTCCTAAATTAAAAAGTCTATGAACAGTGTAAGAAAGAGGAAAAGTATAGAATTGAATTGTCTGTCCTACGTAAACCAAGACCCTGCCCAACTCAAGCCCTGTTCCTTACAATCTATAGATTAACTGACACAAGAGAATTTGAGGATATTTTATACCACATGATAAGAGTGAACCCTAATTATGGTTATATAAAGTCCTACTCCATTTCCCCCTCATTCCATTGTACTTCCAGACTGAAACCTTCTTCACGAATCTCTGTCACTTTTCACCTTTGCCTTTAAGGTAAGCAAAGAGGCAGCAAATGGTTCAAAGGCAGGCCAGTCCACAGAGGCAAGGCTGGAACTAGAACTCAGTGTTCTTGTTTCCCTTTGCTAAAATTCAAAAAGCTATAATGGGTTTTGAAGGGCTTAGTACCCACTGACCCAATTTTATAAACAGCTCATTGTTAATTTATTGTTATATTCATCTTGGATTATCCAACACTTTTTATTAATTTTGGAGTGATCATAGCACATTCCTCTGTTCCTTCCCTTCCTGAGTGTTAGGTTGGCTTGGAGAAAGGGTGGGGGAGCATTTCCCTTGACTAGTACAAAACATCTGGATCCCCAGATTATAGAGATTTAGAAGAGCAATAGTCCTAGAAATGAGGTTGTAATGCTGAAAATCTGGCCGAGTTCAAAAACAATTCATCATTCTGATTTTCTTTCAGAAAAATATCACTATATGAGTTAGAAGACATATGATCAGTAGATGAGAAGCTAATCTGACTTAATATTTTTAGCACCCTGTTCTTATTGCCCTCAAATGCTTATGATTTTTCAAGAGAAACTCAAAATCGAAGAAATGTTCAAAAAGTATCTCCCCACAAGTTTCTGTACTTATCCTAACCAGGTCAATTAACTCCATCTCTGACAGTTATGAATAACTTCTACTTTCCTCACAGGAAAAAAAAATCAGTACAAAACTTGGAAGAAAAATGGGAAAGTAAAGCCCTGTCCAAATAGTGGGCTGCTTAAGCCAAATCGGTCCACTCCAGAAACGCCCCACTGCTCATTACACAATTCTTCACCCACAACGTGCTTTTAGAGAATGTCAAGTTAACATCACCCAACAACCCTAACTCTGGACAACACCAGCCCATCCCCCATCTCAAAAATGGAAGGACACTTCCCCTTGGCTACATCTGACCTTGAACCAAAAAACAATCTATCCCTGAAACTGGTAAGGCATTTTGTCAGGAAGATAAGCTCTGAGGTATAGGAAAAAGAGACAGAATCTGAGGTCAGGAAACTCCAGCTGAGGCTGGCAAGACTGTCTGGAATCAGCCTCCCTGAGGGTGGTAAAATAGGGAAATAGGATAAAATAGGGATGATGTTGCTTACCTCAGAGGGTAATTTGAAGACCAAATGAGTTAGCGGCATGAAAGTGCTTTATGAAGTGGTAAGTAGTTTATATATGCAACAAAGAGCTGTTGTTTTCTGAGTTCACAGATCCTGTGCTGACTGAATGCCCTTCACTGTACAGAACAATTTCTCCCCCTGAGTTATTTGGGATGGGCAGCAGAAGGGCTTCTAGGCTCTCCTCTAATGCATTCCTCTGAGCCACTGCTTGTGGTGACTGTCAGAACTGACAGAAACTCATTCCTCCATCCCCGGCTAGCATCCTGATTTGGGTTGGTGGGGGTTGCAACTTCCCATTTTCAAGTTTTGCTAATTGAATTTTTTGAAGCCTACACTCACTTCTTCCCTTTTAAAAATGCATTATACCTTTCTTCCCCAGCTATTTGAGGTTTATGGCCACAGCAAATGCAAACAACCTCTCAAGTTAAAGAACCACAACACAGTTAAAGAGTTCTAGCCCCTCTACCCTCTCTACCCTTTTCCCTACTTGCTGTTTTCCACAGCAGTCTTGAATGAAAGCAGAGCCCAGAATTTAAAAGAAAAAAAAACTTTGTATCTATCCCTAGAGGCAGCTGTGTGCGTTAACAATGACCACGCTTTCCCTAACTCCGCCTGACCTCCCCTGAAACACACACCCAGGTCTTTGCACACACACGTACACGTCGGTGAGCCGGTCAACCGCAAACAAATCTGACTCTTCGCCAACTTGTAGCCATAGACAGCAACAAAGAGATCCAAGTCCTTCACCGGCAGCTCCAAAAAAGACTGCAAACGCCAGTGGCGCCGCAGTAGGCTGCAGCCTCCGACCGGAGTTTCAGATCTAATTCCTTAAGGAGTATCGCTCCTCTGCCCTTGGGCCCACTCACCTGGGCTTCACCCACTTCTCTCCTCAGGAGGTCGAGAAGAACTGGGTCACTTGGCCACTTCTGACGGAGGGGGGAAGTGGCAGTGAAAAGGCTTCCCACCGAAGTAACCAGAAGCCCACTACTCTTTGCCCCATCTCTCCACCCTCCCGCCCACGTAGGCGCCTGTGCTGCTGGCGAAGGTCCCAGTTCTCAAGGTGCCTGAGCTCCGATGGGATATGTAGGAGCCAGGCGGGAAGAACAGCGGCGGGACGATGGCTGGAGATTGTTAGAGGACAGATGCGGCGGTACTTGGGAAAGGAGCGAAGACGCCGCACAGAGACACTCTCCTGCTCCTTGCTCACACAGAGTAACTCCAAAACACGCAGATGGGTCGTAAGGGAAAGGCCTTCTCTCACTGTCCTCTCCCTTCTCTTCCCCGCTCCCTGCCAACACCTGGTGAAAAAGCAAAGTGCAAGTGTACCTGGAGCGAACACCATGATTTCCTCCAGCCGCTACACCCTAGGTAAGGAGAGACAGACAGACAGACGGAGGTGGGAGGAAGGCCAGGACTTGGAGGGGTCCGGTGCAGGTGGGCGCTCAGGGCGCGGACCGGCTGCTGGTCGGGACGGTCAGCACCTCGGACAGCTCCCCACCGCGCGATCCCGGGGCCGCGGCTGCCGCCGCCGGGACGCGCTCAGCCTCCACAATGCACTGCTCTGCCGGCGGCCACCGCGGCGGCGGGAGGAGGAGACCGAATCCCTGCTCAGTTCATCCCTCATTCCTGTGCCAGCTCAGCGTACGCTGCTGCTTAGGGAGCAAAACGCTTCTACGGCTTCTACGGGAGAAGGAAAGACGGAAGAGGAAGAGAGAAAAAGGTAATTGCCCGGCTTCCCAGCAGGGGGACAGCTAATTGCTTCCAATTACCTGCTGTCGCTCGCCCCAGTGGATATTGGACTGACATTTAGGACGTGCTTGCCCTTTAAAAAAAATAATAATAATAACTCAAAGAGATTTACTCCCGAGGCTGACTCTGAGTTCTCCGAGTTGGGCTGGCTGGCTCTGAAGAGAGGGGTGGGGCCCCCAAGTTAATCGGTCCTTGAGGATCCACGACTCCTCTCTCGACCCGAGTCCCAGTCTTCTGCTAACTTAAGAAAGAGAGCTAGAGGGAAGGACAAGGTGACTGGAGCGCGTGAGGAAGGCGCCGCCATCAGGCCTGCTCCCAGGCGGCCAATGTGGCTCTGAAAGCTCCTAAGGTTGGAGGCCCTCAAGGTCATCACTTTAGGCCGGCCAGGGCAAAGGAAAGAGACCTCGGCGAGGCAGGTCTCCTCCACCGACGAACTCTCACGCTCTATAAAAGGTTGAGCCAACAGAATCCCCTTTAAGTGTGAGAACAGCCCTAAGACCGATCAAGAAACATTGGTGCTTCCCCTGCCTTCACCCAACTGAAAGCTGCGCCCCCAGGTACACCCAGTTCTATTCTCAAGATACTGGAATGCCCCACGCTCACTTCATGCTTCTAATCCAGTGTTCACTTTAAAGCATTATCTAGTTCCCCCAAGATATGTTTGTGCAGTGTGGACATCCCACACTAAATGGTTACCCAGCTTGAAACAAGTCCACCTGTGTTTCAACCCCAGAGCTAAAGTGACACAAGGTCCTCCAGCCTCAAAGCAGATGTCAGTTGCTTTGGGTTTTATCCTCTATTTTTGCAGCTGAATGGAGATTTCCAAGAACAAAGGGTGATCAGGGTCATATCCAGTGTTTTATAGGGTTTCTTCACTGGCACCTCTCCCTGGAAAATATGGCTATTCTGAAAATACAGTATTTCTTAATAATTTGGTTGGTAGCTATAAGTTCTACACTCTTTTGGCAAATATAAAGCATTCAAATAGCCATATTGGCACTGGTTTTGTTCAAAGCCATCCGATAGATTGAAAATGCAAATAGTTTCACAGCTCTTGAACTACAGTTTGCATGGAAGCGTATGGGCAGCTTCAACATAACACAATCAGTCCTGCTCTTAGCACCTGGCTCAACACAGGCTTGAACACAGGCAGATGGGGCCTGCCTCAGCAGCAACAAGATGCCAGTCAGCTGATGGGCAGGATGAAGTGTGTGTATGACAGGATGCAATCCTCTCACATCCCCAAGTTACACCAAGAGCCAGGGACCAATGATGCTTCACTTCTTTGCTTTATCACCAGGAGAACTGTGAAATACTATTTGAAAGAATCTTCGAATGATTGAAACATCTCTTTCTTTTAACATACTCAAAAGTGCTCTCTTTTACTTTTTTTTTTAATTAATAAGCTTTATTCTCCTAATGCATAAGCAATTACTCAGGATTGAGTTCAAGAAAAAGCAATATAGTGTAGGAAAAGAAAAAAGACTTGGGAATCAGTCAGACCCAAGTAGAACATCTTTACCATTTACTAGCTGTGTCACCTCGGATAAATTACTTAACTGTCTCGTCTGCAAGGTAAGGATTAAGGTATCTTGAAGGCTTGTTGTGAGGATCAAATGTGATAATGGATTAATTAAGAGAGAGTACAGCCCCAATTAAACCAATTCCAAGAAATTACTGACACCCTGGGAGTAGATAAAACCCTATAGGAATGCAAACTAAATATGTTAGATCAGTACTTCTCAGGCATTAAAGTGCATATGAATCCCATGGAGATCTTGTTAAAATGCAGATTATGATTCAGTAGATCAGGGTGGGGCCTGAGATTCTGCATTTCTAACAAGCTCCCAGGTGATGTCCATGCTGAAGGTGCTGCTAGTCCATAGACTACACTTTGAGTAGCAAGGTATTAGATGTATCAGCATTTAAAAAGAAAGAAATTACTTATATCTCCTCCAGCCTCAGAGAGCATCTTTCTAAATGTTAAATAAGGAAAGAACCTTAGACTTTCAGTCTAGATAGAGGCCAAGATGGTAGTAGAAAGAATGCCTAAAAATGGTCCCAGAGATCCTTTGATTAGCCTGCTGTGGCAATAGGAGGTAATATGATCCAGTGAAAACAATGCAACAGGTCAAGGACAGAAGAAAAACCTCTCTTCTCAGCCCCATCCTCAGCTCTTCCCTGCCCTTCTTCCTCCCATCATGTCTTCATTTTCTCTACCCAGCACACCACTGCTACCTAGCCACAGGACAGTGTATTCTCAATCCAGTTTTTGCTTGTTTATGTTTTAGTAAGAGCAATTAATTTTATTCCCAATAAAACCAAGGCACTTTAATAAATTTTTTTATTTACAGTTATTTCATCAGTAAATTTTATATTAAAAAATATTATCTCCAATTTTTACTACTACTGGAGTTATTAGTCTGTTGATTTAATTTTAAAACTTTAAAATGCTACTAGATTTTTTATATTTTAATGTTAAGTGATCAATTTAATAACAGAATGCCTCATAGGAAAATAAAAATTCCCTTTTATTCTACTGTAAGAGCCAGACTCTTTGATAGATCTTGTCTCCATTCTTACCCCACAACCAAGGCTTAAGTTCCCAATGTAGTCTCACTCTGTCTCTGTTAAACACCTCCACTCAGGGCAACTCACTCTCTACTCAAACAATCAATTGCATTTTGAGATAGCCATCTATAGAGAGGCAGCCACTGCCACTGACACCACCACCATCTACCTCCTTCTAGACCCTCATTTCCATTCAATGATGGGAATAGTGATAGGAAGCAAGAGAGTAAACAAGTTGAACTAGATGCCCCAACTTTCTTTCTCTGGTGCTGAGCTTATCAAACTGGGCACTCCTACCCCTTCAGCTACTTGAACAAGATGCTGGATGAGCTGGCAGGCACAGAAAAAAAAAAGTCATCTAATAGAACCAACTGTTTTACTTGGATACTTGGGAGAATATTTTATACAAAAATGAACATGAATACACTATGAAGTAGTGATTCATGTGACATGTAAATATTAAACTGGAGACTCCAAAGAAATTACCATAGGCAGATTAGGGCTATAACTCTCAGACTTCCCCAAGTCCCTATCCATTCCCTCTATCATTCATTTATTTTACTGTGTCTTTAGAACTTTAACAAATAGAAAAGTTTGAAAACCCATTCTAAAACATTCCCACTGTTTCCATTATTTGCAGCTCACCTTGGCACCAGCCATATCCTGATTCTTCCCACCCCATACTCATTTTAAATGCATTATTCAACCAACCAAAATTTAAAATAATTTTTAGCATCTCTGAGGACAGTTCAAATAGATTGAAAAGAAGGATTTTCATTACGAAGCATTAAACCATAATTGTTTCCAAAATGTCTTGGCTTGTAGGTTTCAGTCACAGAAATGAAATGCTGGAAAAGAACTCTTTTCTTCTAAGAGTTGCTAGAAGTCATTGAATTGGGCCTAAGGAAGAGCATAGAGGTGAAGCAAAGCAGAAATAAGAAAAGGAATGAGAGAATGTGGTATAAAGAGACGTGAAAATAGAAAAACTGAATGAGGAAGAAGACATTGAAAAACTAATCTTTGTGCTATCCAATCTTTAAAGACTTAAAGAGAGTGAGGTAAAAATACATATAGAGAAGGAAATTGAAAAAATAATGAAGGTAGAAGATGGAATAAATGGGAAGGGAGAATAAAAATAATAACTGTACTACATTAAGAAAAGAAATGGAAAATATTAAAGAATTTTGCAGGCTTAAAAAGTACAGGACAACGTCTCTTGAAGCAGTGTATGAGTCCTATGAGAGGCTTTAAAAGGGAATAAGAAATAGCCATATTTTATGAAAGGAAACATCAGCAAAACTTCCTTATTAGAAAAAGAACACTAGATGGGGCTGGCCCGGTGGTGCAAGTGGTTAAGTGCACGCGCTCCGCTGCAGCGGCCTGGGGTTTGCCGGTTCGGATCCCGGGCGCGAACCAACGCACTGCTTGTTGAGCCATGCTGTGGCGGCGTCCCATATAAAGTAGAGGAAGATGGGCATGGACGTTAGCTCAGGGCCAATCTTCCTCAGCAAAAAAAAAAAAAAAAGAGGAGGATTGGCATCAGATGTTAGCTCAGGGCTGGTCTTCCTCACCAAAAAAAAAGAGAGAAATGGAAAAAGAACACTAGAACAGTTAAAATTTTGTAGTATGTTTATGCATAATGAATATTTTCCTGAAAAAAAGTAACTTTGTTTGAAGACCCTTTTTTCCTACAAAAGAGCTATGTATCCATGTTCATTTTTGTACAGAAAGTTCTCCTAAAGCACCAAAAAAGATTATTGATTCTACTAGATGACGGAAGAGGGAGGATCAGTTGAGGACAACATTCAAATTAAAACCAACTTGGTTAGTTTTTAAGGAGAAGCATAAAGCATTCAACTCACTTAACATTCAACTCACTTAACATTCAACTCATCTTCAAAATTGTGAATAGACACTATAAGACCTTACTTGGTAAATTCCAATACATAAATCTACCTATCTGTTTATATATAGGTGCCACACTAAATCAACCTCAGAAGAGAAAAATCAATGAGAAAAAAA